TCTCTTATCTCTCTTTTCTCTCTCTCTCTCTCTCTCAATTCATGCGAGTGTGTATTAGTTATCTCACGGGCTCGCTCTCGTGGGTGTGAGATCGCGTGTGTGTGTTTACGTGCATGTTCGTACATACTTTGAACATAATTATATCATTATCTATAGGTCCTGCGTTCGGTTATATGTTTTTTTAGGATGAGGAATACAATAAATTCTGTTGTCAATTTTCTCATTTTCTTAAATTGCTGGGCAGCTACATGATTTAGCAGAGTGTATTCTGTAGAAACTGTTTACAGACAACTCGCGTTATTTTAGTCTCCGTTTCCCTTTGTTGTGGATGGATGAGTCTTTTTCATGATGATTTGGAGTAAAAACAAGAGCAATTAAAAAAAAAGAAGAATTTTTTGTAGCTGGTTGCCAGTTGTCCGTTTTGCGTCGGACACTACGTGTATGTGGTTACGCTAGTCAATGCTACCATGAAAGAACTACCCAAAGGAATTCATGCCGCATTATGTGCAGACCACCTGGTTCTTTGGTGCTCTGAAGAATTCGTCACTACTGTCACGTATCGCATGCAACTAGCACTGGACAAATCCACTACATAGACAAAAACCTGGTGTGTAACCGTTAACAAAGAAAAGTCTTCTGCTAACCTCTTCACTCTCAGCCAGGCTGAGCCAAACAACTTACATTGGACAAAGCCCCCACTCCCCTTAAATTTGAAAATCAACAGAAGTATCTTGGAATAATATTTGGCAAGCGTCTCACATGGAAACAACAAATGCAGAAACAAAAGCCAGGAAGAAGCTTAACATTATGATAAAACTAGCAGGGACTCAGTAGGGAGCAAGAGAGAAAAAACTTAGACAGGTCTATCTGGGCGCAATCAGGCCCCATCTTGAGTACGGATCCAGTGCATGGATGACTGCAACACAGGCTCACAAATACACTCTGGAAAAAGTGCAAAACCAGGCTCTCTGTATAATCACTGAAGCAATGAGGTCAACGCCTATAGAAAAGATGGAACAAGCAACATCTATAGTGGCCCTGCAGAGGAGATGGGAGTGCAAGGCCCTCATACAGTACCCAAAGGCCATAGCTATGGAGGATCATAACAAGAACAGCCAGATCAAGCACCACAAGACTTAAAAGATCCAACTTCATCAAAGAAAGCAGAAAAATCCAAAGATCCCTACAGGACCATCTACCAGCCACAGTGAACATGCTGAACCATACCCCAGAGGCACCATCATGGGAAAAGAAAAATACAAACATAATTATACACACGTCCATTCCTAAGTTCACCACAAAAGATGACCACAGCGACCTGAGCAAGAAATCCCTCACCCTGTCCATGTTTGAAGAAAGATACCCCCGAGAAGCATGGATAAGGATCTATACGGACGGATCTGTCACTGATGCTGTGAAAAGTGGAGAAGCGGCAGTGTACGTACAGTTCCCAAATGGACGACGACAAGCAAAGGCAGTCTCAACAGGGCGACATTGTACAAACTACAGGGCAGAGACGGAGGCTTTAATACATGCAGCAAACATCATCAAGAATGTGGTAGACCCCCAAAGCCAAGTAGTACTCCTAACTGATGCCATTTCAGTATTGCAGGCAATCACTTCCGGCAAACTACCAAGGCAACGAGAAGTAATAGAGGACATCCCATGTCTGAGGATCATGCTGCAGTGGATTCCATCACACGGTGGTGTCTTAGGAAATGAGCAGGCTGACAGGATGGCCAAACCAGGAGCACAGAAAGAGCAATCAGACAACAGCGTCAACTACACAGTAATAAAACATATCATAAATACACTATTTAAAGCACCACAGACACCAGATAGCTACCATGAGCTGTCCCACCAAGAACAAGTGATTATTTTCCGACTAAGAACACAACACACAAGACTGAGACAACATATGTACATATGTTTTAAACTAGTACAATCACCTAAATGCCAGTGTGGAGAGGCGGACCAAACTGTTGAACACATCTTTCAGGACTGCAAGACACACAGGGCCCTGAGACAGGAAACGTGGACAACCCCACTGACACTACAAGAGAAGCTATACGGGCCGACAGATGACCTGAGCAGCACTGCCCAATTTATGACAGATTCCAGACTTCAAGTGTGATGCGATCGAGAAGAAGAAGAAGTCAATGCCATAACGCACTAGTGTGTCTGGTCCAGAAAATAATGTCAACTAAGCTATGTTGAATAATTCTGCAGAAGTTTTTTTGCTCTCTTTTTTTAAAAAAAAGATGATACCAATGACATGTGAAGTTTCGCACTTTAACTTGGACAGACAAACTGCGGGATTTTCATTTTTATCCTGTGGGAGTTAAAAGTGTTTCCGTGTTTTCGAAAAAAACCCAACAACCCCGATCACGGTGAAACTTGGTAACAGTGCTTATTATAAAAGTAAAGTAAAGTTGTTCCCACATCCGATCCGGACATTGGGGATTGCCTTGTCAGTGAGACAACTTCCTGGGCCTTCAGC